TGTCCTTCTTTACTATAATCTGCCTGAACTGCTCGCAAAATAAAACTTTTCATTGTACTTAGGCACATGTGCCCACAATAAATCAAATCAAATGATGGTGTGGTCTAACATGTGAAAGGTTGCAGGCAGGTTGAGAAAAGTCAGAGTCACCTAGGATGTCAATTGTGACTTTGGTAAGAACCATTGTTACATTTATGCTAAATGTATGAATGTTGTTTCTCTGCTAAAGAGCAGTGAATTATTATTCATTATTTTCCTTTATCAGTAATGACCATCTGATAAAATTAGGAGAGATTGAAATGGTAAATGTTCATAATAAAAACAAATTTATTAATTATTAGAAAGAGGTGAAGATTTTTAAAGTTTGTTGCATTTAACAATTAGAAGATTATCAGTTTAACGTCCAAAAGGCTTTATAAAGACCAAAAGATCTTTGTAAAGAAATGAATTGTTGTCAACATGTGCATGAGTTGGCGGAGTCGTATTTATTGCATTTATTGCCCACTCCAAAATATACTGAAAAAGCAATGGTGGATTTTATTCCTTAAAATATAGCTGCAGTCCAATAAGCAGTTATTTCACACAGCAACAGAGAAAGGGTCAGAGATAGTAGGAACTGCAGATGCTGGTGAATCCGAGACAACAAGGTGCAGGTCTGGATGAACACAGCAGGTCAAGCAGCATCATCCGTACTCGAGCAGAAAGAGGAAATCTAAAAATCTCTATAGGCATATAATTAGTGAAAAGTAAAAGAAGTGCTTAGGGAACAAAAAGGAGATTTATGTATGAAAATGGGGGAATTGGCTCTAGTTTTGAATAAACACTTTGTAGCTGTTTTTGTCAAGGATGAAGATGTTTCACAGATCATGATGAAAGAGGAGGAAGATCAGACACTAGGTTTAACATTAATGAGGAGAGGGAATTGGATAAGCTGTCTGTACTTTAAGTTGATTAAGCACTAAGACCAAATTAGATGCATTCAAAGATACTGAAGGAAATGAGAGTGGAAACTGTGGAGGCATTGTCCACAAATTTCCCATCTTCCTTAGACTCAGAAATACGACAGAAGGTTCAAGGATTACAAATGTCACACCCCTGCCCAGCAGTTACCCAACAATCAGTTGAATCTGTTATTGGCAAGATTTGAGAAACTATTATTTGGGACAAAGTTTATAGTCATATGAGTTAATTCCAAAAAGGCCAACATGGCTTTGTAACGGCAAATCCTGTTTCATTAACATGCTTGATGAGGTTGTAGAGAGGATTGACGAGGGTAATTCCTATCATGCATGTACATAGACTTGTAAAATGCATTTGATAAAGCGCTGCACAACCCATCTATGGGCAAAGTTAGAGCTTACGGAACAAAAGAGACTGTCGAAACAGATGCAAAACTGGCTGAGTGATAGGAAATAAACAGTAATGGTTAATCATTGCTCTGCAGACTGGAGGAAGGTTTATAGAGGAATTCCCCAAGTGTCAGTGTTAGGACCCCTGCTCTTCCTGATATACATTAATAACCTCGAACTTAATGTGCAGAGCACAGTTTCAAAATTTGCACATGATGGGAGACTTGGAAGCAGTTTGAACTGTGAAAACGAGACGGTAGAACTTCAAAAGAACAAAATTTTGGGCAGACTAGTGGGCAAACAAGAGATATGAAGTGGTTTATTTTGGTTGGAAAATAAAAATGGAATGAGCCAACATATACTAAAGTGTATCATTCTAAAGGGTTGCAGGAGTAGAGGGGCCTGAATGTATATGTACATTGAATGTGGCAGAACAGGTTGAGAATTTTAATATTTGGGGCTTTATCAACAGGGGCATAGAATTTAAAAGCAAAGAAAATATATTAAATTTGTGTTAAAGATTGGTTCAGCCTCAACAGGAGGATTGCATGCTATTTTGGCCATTGTATTTTAGGAAGGATGAAAAGGCAATAAAGAAAGTGCAGAAAAGATTAATCAGAATGATTCCAGCAATCAGGAATTTCAGCTACATAGAAACATTAGCGAAATTGGGACTGTTTTTCTTGAAGTAGAGAAGGATAAGAGGAGATTTTTTACAGGCATTCCAAATTATGAAACTGTTTCCATTCATGGAAGGATTGAGGCTGCAAGGGTGCAGATTTAAGACCGGCAAAAGAAATTATGTGAGATGTGGAAAATTTTTATTACACTGTGAATTGGTAGGATCTGGAATGCACTGGAAACAGATCAAATCAAAAAATTCAAAAGGGAATTGGATTATTAGTGAAAAAAATGTGATGGGCTTTGGGGAGAAGGTGGAGGAGTGACACAGGTGAATTGCTCCTTTACAGAGTCAATGCAGACATAAAGGGTTGAATGGCTTCCTCCTGTGCTACAACCATTTTCTTATCCTATGGTATGACCTGCAATCCACCTACACTTCTCCTTTTTCTCTACTGTTATGCATGTATTATTTCTGTTTTAGATCAATTTAAGCAAATATAATTGGACAAAAGAAAACAGATGAAGAGAATTAATTTTACTTATTGTTGAGACCATCATTATTATTCTTCTTTCGTTTTTCTCATTTGGTTTGGAACTGAGAGTTGAAGTTGAGAATTGAATTTTAAACTTTGAACAGCAGTTTGTTTTAAAAGGAGAGAATAAGAGACAACTGTTTGCTGCTAGGAACTGGCCTGGAAAGACAATGCAGGTTAATTACTACCCTAAGGACAGTTCTGACAATTCAGCACCAAAATGTTGTTAACCTCAGGACTGACAACTGGTTAGATGTTTAACTGGCCAGTAAAGGGAGGACTGTTGGTAGCTAGCCAACCACACAGAATTTGGATAAAGAAAGAGAAAACAAAGAGCAAACTGAGCTGACTCAGGTTTTGGACAGGAAGTTTTTGCTTTGTGTATTAATTTTTCAGTTATCAACTTGTTAAACATTTTGAAAAAAGAATCCCAGTCAGTAAGAAATAAGTAAAAGTCTCCTCAGGTCTGGACATAAGCTGTTTGCATTGACTGGTGATATCAGAATTCAAGCAAGTTATACGGTCCTACCTGTTTGTAATGCAATCCTTCTTCCAAGATTTCATGAAGGCCTGGTATTCATAGTTGAAACAGTACCAAATTGGCAAATTACAATTCTTTTATTTTCTTTTTCAATTTATCCCTTAATTCGTCTGCCTGTCTGCCAGGATGCGACTAAGGATTTATGATCAAAGAAGCTTGGGTTTAGATCATATATATTAACTAAATTACTTTTTAGTTTATCTGTGTTCTACTAAAGTTACATTCTTACTAATAAATTGTTATTTTTTGTTTAAGTTATTAACTTGGTGTCCAATATCTTTTATTTGTAAAATCTGGCAGGAACAGTTGTGAAATTTTGAGGGTTGTTGAATGTTTTAACTGCGTGCAAATCTAGTGATGGTGAAGTTGTTATCTTGTTATCCCTGTGTTGTAACACTTACCAAGTTATGATGCTTCACCAGTGGCCTTTACTTTCCTACCTGGTCTCCATAAACTCTTGACTCTCTTGTCAATCAAAAATCTGTCCAACTGACCCATGCATATATTCAATGATCCAGCCTCCACTCCTCACTGGAGAAGGGAATTGCAAATACTAATGACCCTCTGTGAGCAGAAATTCCTTCTTATCTCCAGCTTGTTTTGAAACTGTGCCTTCTAGTTGTATATTCACATGTGAAAGAACATCCTCTCAGCATTTATCCTGTCAAACAACCCCAGAATCTTATATGTTTCAATAAGGTCACCTCTCATTCTCCAAAACCCCAATGAGTATAGGTTCAAACCGCTCAACCTTTCCTCAGAAGACAAACTCCTCATCCCAGGGATCAGCGTGCACATGCCTACATTTGTAGCAAGACTCCCTCCTGTTACATACCACTCTCTTTGTAATAAAGGCCAATACTCTATGTGCTTTCACTTGTTTTATCTTCATGCTGACATTTTGTAAACCCTACCTTTGTGATGAAATGTTGTGTAGACTTTGCCCCTCGTATTTTGCTAAATATAATAACTACCTTCAAGAGGAAATTGCAGCACTATGGGGATAGAGTAAGAGAGTGGGGCTATTTCGGCAACTCTTTCAAAAAACCACCCTACACAGGTCTACAAAATGATTCTTTTCTCCCCCTTCATTGATGGAAGAAATCGCCACCATGTATCAATGTTATTCCTCTATTCCTTGATCAGTGCTTCTGGGACAGTTTCCATTTGACTTATTTTGTGGTGTCGGAAGCCTGATTGAAGGAGCTGACGGTAACACAAGTCACCTCCAAACCTGAAACTAGGTAGAGAGAATTAAGGTAAATTAGGAAGAGTAGTGAATCAGGTGGATTTTAAAATACCTGTACACTATTCACAGAGATACAAGACCAATTCTATGAATCATTCTATTGATAAACCATTTCAATTATTTTAAAGTATTTTGATTTAAATTTGAATCGAATTTTAAGAGGTGCAGCTTATTTGGAAATATACGTTCATTGGTCTCCCTGTTGGTGAATCTATCAACCAGCCGTACTGATGGAAAGCCTTTGTTCTGACCCTCGCCCTGTTCCAGAACTGTGCTAGCTCCAGACCATTGTTACATGCAGATTTTATTGATCGCTCTGCACTTGATCTGGCATCTCTCGGAGTTTTAACATGACTTTTGCTTAGAGTCTGCTCGCTTCCCATAATCCACCCCTGTGTTTGTCTCTTTTTTCTAAAAAAAATCCATAAGATATTCTCAAATTTCTGACAGTAGCGAACCCTTTCAATAAATGCCCCACACCCGTCCCCCACCCCGACCAAATCTATTGGCTTTGTTTGCTGAGAAATAAGGGCATCTTTCTCTTAGATGCAATTTATTAGGCAATCAGACGTTGTAACAAAGTTGTGGATGGTTAACATAAAAAAAACTAATCTTCTCTGAACTATATAATAGATCTTTTCCATTAAGCAGAGAGTGTGAGTTTGTTTACACAGACGCTGCATGTTCCCATTGGAGTGAGCAGGAAAGGAGGACAGCTTCGAGATAATGAACTGTTTGACATTCTGCCTGTAGGGAGATAAATGCGACCGCCATTAAATATTTTCAAGTATCTATCTTTGCACAGGCTGGGGGTTGGAAGCACGTCAGACGGTGGGAAAGCTGTCTAACATGTCCTCTCGCTCACTCTCTCTCCAGTTTGCAGCAATAGAGTGACCTGCTTCTCTACAGTTCAGCTTCACGCTGGAATCAACAGTGGCTCTGTGCCATTTTGAGAAATTTCAGGTTTAGTTTTCTCCCTCTCTCTCTCTGAGTCGCAGCGTCTCATTGAGTAACAGAAACTGGAAGAAGTGACAGCACTTTAGGAACTTTTTTGGATGATTAGTATAAATGTACATGGACAGAAGCTGCTCCGGGGAAACTGCTGGGCCCGAGCGAAATTAGAGACTTGACATTTGATTGTAAGTACGGCTGTTAGGTGCCATATGTTGTTTTTTTGTGTATGTTTGTATCTTTAAAAGAAAACTCCACGGAGTTGAGGAACTGTAGCAGGATCAGTCACGTTGTATGCGGGTTTAAGTGCACGGGTTTCTGTAAGGATGTAAGAGGCAGATTAGAAAATATATCCGAAATGTGGAAGTTTGTACGACACAGACCAGCATCTGAGTGGAAGCATTCAACTGTTTCCAGTGTATATTAGCCCCTCCAATTTCCTGTGCTCCTTTCGCCGAGCTGATGAGTTTTTTTTCCCCATCAGGGGTTCACTCTGCTCAGCAGTCCCTTCGAACCTCTCTCAATCAACCAGTCGTCGCCTGTTCAATAGGCACTGAGTGTTAGCACGCTGTTCGACTGTGAAAAGCATCAATCCTGTCCTTATATGCACACTTTCCAAACGGCTAAGGACGAGAAGCTGTAACCGTGCCCGCTTTCTCTCTCTGTGGGCTAGGATGTTGGGAGCCAATGGTAATAGTTTGGTGTTTCTGAGTCAGTCACTGGAATCAGACCCGGGACTTGCTGCTATGGATAGCTCAGTTACATTGTTTTTAACCCGAAGAGCCGCTGAGAATGTTCTTGTTTCCTTACACAAGGAGTTGCTAATAGTCAAGTGGTGGCATTCATTAATAGCATGCACTTTGCTCACAACATATTAAGAGTCAGTCTCGACGCCTTTCCTACATGGTCGAAATCCCAAGAAAAGTTTGGCTAAATAAGTATTAAACAGCTGGCCAACTGTCTGGAAGTTGTTTCGAATGAGCATTTTTGCTGCAATACAACTTAATTTGCAAACTTATATTCTGCTGAGGATATTTTTGACCTCTGTCTTTGCAGGAAACCCACAAAATTGACTTCCAGTCGGGAGTGGGGGAGGAGGTGGAAACACTGGGTTGCAGTCAATAAGAAGTCTGCACTTTGTTCCTCTGATAGAGAAGTTGGTATTTCCTGTCCCATCATTGAACCTATTATCATAAATGGCTGTAATTGAATAACAATGAGGTTTACACCATGCAGTTCTGCCTGGTGCTCCTACTGACAAGAGATTTGAGAATAGTGAGGAAACAGTGTCATTCTGATTGATGGGGTGAATAAAAACATTCTTGCTGATGTGACAATGGAGCTAGTCAAGGATGGTTCTGTAATGTAAGTGTTATGTCTGGATTTCAGCCTGTAATTATTATTAAACACAACTGTCTGCAATGCTGTTGGAACTGACAATTACAGCAGAGACAAAAGTTGTAATTAGAAGTTTGAAGTAGGTAAGAATGTTAACACGAAACTCTAAAATACCCCTTATGTGTGATGAGCTGACTGCTATTAGATGAAACAGAGATTCTAGACCCGAAACATCAGCCTTCCTGCTCCTCTGATGCTGCTTGGCCTGCTGTGTTCATCCAGCTCTACACCTTGTTATTGCGTTGCAGTTTGCTTCAGCACACCCTCCTCAAGGTCTATTGCCATTGTAGAGGACTGTAACTTCTGCTGGAAAATGCATGTTGGGTGAGGTTTGGTTGTACAAAAGTGAAATTTTGCAGATGCTGGAAATCTGACGTCAAAACAGAAAATGCTGGAATAATCAGCATGATGTGGAGGTGCTGGTGTTGGACTAGGGTGGACAAAGTCAGAAGTCACACAAAACCTGGTTATAGCCCTTTCTGAAGAAGGGTCCCCACCCAAAATGTCAACTTTCCTGCTCCCCTGATGCTGCCTGGCCTGCTGTGTTCCTCCAGCTTCACACTGTGTTATCTCTGACTCCAGCATCTGCAGTTCTTGCTATCTCTGACCAGGTTATAACCCAACAGGTTTATTTGAAATGAGAAGCTTTTGGAGCACTGTTCCTTTGTTGGGTGTTCACAAAAGTTGTAATCAGAAGTTTGAAGTAAGTAAGAATGTTAACGTGTTTACCTGACAAAAGAGCAGAGCTCCAAAAGCTTCTGATTTCAAATAAACCTGTTGGGCTGTAACTTATGTAACTTGTGTGACTTATGACTTGGAATACTCTGCAAGTAGAGAAGGATAGTTTCGGGTTGCTGACTTCCCATTGAGTTCTGAGTATTTCTTTTTCCTGAGTTCTTCCTCCATCCGCAGATGCTGCCTGACTTCCAGAGTATTTCTAGCACTTCTATTTTACTTCAGGTTTAGTTGTGATGCCTTCCACAGCACAAACAGGCACATGGAAGGTAGGGGATTATTTCTGAAGAACAACCTTTGTACAAGGTACTGGAAGGTAAATCACAACTACACCCCAAAAGAGATTCCTTCCTTGTGTTAGCTCAAGTATCCACCAAAATCTGCTTTCACGGCCCCATTTTCTTCCTTGGTGTAACCGTATTCAGATCTAACTTATTCCATATAATTTCAACTGAAATTTCACCCTTTGTGTTTTGGATCCACCCATAATTATAGGCATCGCCCAGATATTCAACATTCCTTGGACAGTTATTCTCTCTGTTTCTTAAGATCCATAATCAGTGCCATGTGCTGCCACATGTGTACTCTTCTCTTCAGCAACACCAACTCACTCTATCTTAGAGCTATCCTGGTTCCTAGTTTCATTTCATCCTTTGTCTCACCTATAAGAAAAAACTTTTCCCCTTTATTTCAGATGTTCACTAACTTTCCCCTCTCTGATGAACCATCTGTCCTTAGCAAAGAATTCAGCTTCATTACTTTATGCTCTTATGCCCTCATCTTCGTGAATGTTTGAGCATGACATTGTATTCTCCTTTAGGCAGGACTCCAGCCCTCCCTAATGAACTCTTTCACCTCTCCAGTGTTTTCCCTCCACCTGGACTCTCATCTTCCCTCCACAGTTTCTCATCTCATGGTTCCCCAGTCTTGGACAGCTCACTTCTACCTCCTTGCCAAAATCCAGAAACAGGACTGCCCTGGTAGACCTATTGGTTAAGTTTGACCTGGCCCAATGAACTGAATTCTTTCTAACTTGACTACTTTTTATCAGCCCTTGCGCAGACTCTTCCTACCTATATGTGTGACACTTCTGAAGTGTCACTTTAAAAGTTTCCAATTTCATACCCCTGTCCCCTCTTCAACATGGATGTCCAATATCTCTGCACCTCCAACCCACACTAGGATGGCTGTCTGCTTCTTCCTTGAATGAGGCTCAAACAGTCCCATCCTCCCCTTGACTAAGCCTTTCTTCATTCTGAACAACAATTCCTTCAATGCCACTCATTTCCTCCAAATAAAAGTTGTTGTTATGGGTATTTGTATAGGTTGTAGCTATGCATATCTTTTTGTAGGATACAACAAACATTTTTTGTTTATGCATCTTACTCAACTCTCTTTTTTTCCAGTACATTGGTGCCTGAATGGTGCCATATCAAGTTATTGTCTAGAATGGGAAGATTTCATCAACATTGTCTCCAAATTCCACATGTATCCCATCTTCACATGGTTTTTCTCTGACACTTCCCTCCCCAACTTCTCCGGCCCTGTTCCTACTTATAAGCTAGCCACTAATATTCATTATTAACTCACTGACTCCCACAGCCATCTTAACTACACTTTCTCACACAATGCTTTTTCTGTTTCTATCACTACTGTTCTTAGGATGCAATCTTCCACAATATTGTCTCTGAGACATCTTCTAATTTCCTCAACCAAGGAGTTCTATTCTCCACTCCATCATGATTGACAGGGCCTTTCACTGTCTTCATTTCCTAAACTTTTGTTTTCAACTCTTCCCAGAACCACAATAGGGTTTCCCTTCTCCTTACTTTCCACCCTAACAGCCTCTATACTCAACAATTTCCCACCACTAGGGCTATCTCCAGTGTGATGTACCACCAATCACATCTTCCCATTCCTTCTTAGCATTCCAGAGGCATCATTCCCTCCCTGATATTCTGGTCCACTCCTTAAGCACCATCTACACCCTATTGCACCTCTCCAGTGCAAATGCAAGATATGTAATACTTTCCCTTTTACTTCCTCTCTCCTTTCCTTCCAAGGTCACGAACACTCCTTCCAGGGGAAACAGCAATTTACTTGCACTTCTTTCAATCTAGTCTACTATATTTGCTGCTTGCTATGTGATGTCCCCTAGATAGGGGAACCTGAAAGCTACGCTCGGTTCGCAATAAACAACTGCACCTCCCAGTCGCGAACCATTTCAACTCCCCCTCCCATTCCTCAGACGACATGTCCATCCTGGGCCTCCTGCAGTGCCACAACGATGCCACCCGAAGGTTGCAGGAACAGCAACTCATATTCCGCTTGGGAACCCTGCAGCCCAATGGTATCAATGTGGATTTCACAAGTTTCAAAATCTCCCCTCCCCCTACCGCATCCCAAAACCAGTCCAGCTCGTCCCTGCCTCCCTAACCTGTTCTTCCTCCCACCTATCCCCTCCTCCCACCTCAAGCCGCACCTCCATCTCCTACCGACCAACCTCATCCCGCCCCCTTGACCTGTCCGTCCTCCCTGGACTGACCTATCCCCTTCCTAACTCCCTACCTACACTCACCTTTACTGGCTCCATCCCCGCCTCTTCGACCTGTTTGTTTCCTCTCCACCTATCCTCTCCTCTATCCCTCTGCTATCCGCCTCCCACTCTCTCCCTATTTATTTCGGAACCCCCTTCCCCTCCCCCTTTTCTGATGAAGGGTCTAGGCCCGAAACGTCAGCCTCTCTGCTCCTATGATGCTGCTTGGCCTGCTGTGTTCATCCAGCCCTGCACCTTGTTTTAGCAGATTAAAGTGATCTCTTTGTGGGACATCTCCATTCTGTCCTAATGCATGACTCTTGCACTCACGTTGTCACCTCTGTCCTCAATCTACTGCACTGTTCCAATGAAGTTCAACATAGGTTTCAGAACAGAATCTCAAATTTCGATTATGCATCTAACAGCCTTCTGGATTCAACATGGATTTCAACAATTTCAGACTGTAAACTCTTGATCCATTTTGTTTCCCTCCCTTTGCTTTTATAATTTTCTTTTTTA